AATAGTTAAGAGTGATTCAAGAGTAAAAATTATCTATATAATACATGTACGGGTATCTAGTTATTTATATAAAAATGTTGGTCCATATTATATACACCTTAAGGACTATCATATATAACGATTAAGAACCGTTCAGCCGTTTAAAGATAACAAACAGAAAGTCAAACACACTTTCACAGATATAATTGTAAATTACACTGATCCTGCCAAATTTAATAACATACTAAAATTACGGATGTTATAGTCACCGTTACATATATATAAAGATTTCTATTTTTGTCGACGGAAATGCATTCAAATGTGTGACGAAAATCTCCTGTGACCGTAGTACTAATAGTGTTTTGTAACAGTGGAATATGCCGTTTACCGGGTATTATACCAATGGTAGTAGTGTGACTCATCTCGCACTACCGTCATACCTATTTTTACCGTGACACAGCAATATATACATTTGTTTCTATGTTGTGAAAACTAAGAAAAAAATGGCAACGTATGATGAGTGTCAAGAACGTAACAGTATGTATATTTAGTAATACGTCATCATATTCTAACAGTCATAAAACATTATAACTAAGAGCCAAAATGTAACAATGGCTAAATTCAAAGACAGAATATTATCAAAGTATGACGTGTGTCGGCTGGTGGTGGTACTGTTCTTGTATATACATATTTGCCATTCATTTACTTTAAAATTGTATTTAGTATAATTATAAATAAATGTTATTATTTCTATCCATAATAAATTAGGGCAAGTAATAAAAACAGATTATGCCTATTAAAACCTACTTGCATAGATAATAAAAACGTATTAACTACCTATATACCTAAAAGGTTGACCTACAATTGACATTGACAGTCGTAAGTGAGATATACGGAGACACGGTATTTTTTTTTATGTGATAGTAATGGCAAATCAGCTGACAGCCTACCTGATGGTAAGGACAACCGTCGTCCATATATTTACATGAAGAACAAGGTCGAAGTGTGACGCCCGTGACACCACTCATACGTTGCTATTCTGGACAACTAATATTTATTTATCGTACTAGATAAATTACAGGACTCAAAATTTACAGAGAAATAGTGTACAAAAGACGATATTGCTTATGCAATTTATTCCAGACAGGCTTTGGGTAGAGGAGAAAAGACAAAAGTTAGGTGGCTAGAATAGAATGGTAAACAGATTCATAATAATGAACAACACACATTATATATATATTTAACACATCGTCAATAAAATGCTTAAGAACATCATACGATATTATATAAAAATATTGTATGTAAATACTGACTGGTGTTTGAAAAAGATTTCGAGCAATGATTTTCAATTTACCTTGATTCAAACACGTCACCGGTTTATCGATGATTAAATCATAGAACATCAGACCCCGTGATAAAATTAAGGGTTTTACCGTATTGTATCTCATCTCACAATCTTTACCGTCTTCCTTCATATTCGTAATGTACGGAAACTATACAAAGATATACGAACAGGGGAAAAGTTACACGAAAATTATCTAATAATATTCTTAAAACTTAACAATAAAAGACTAAGAAGAAGAATACACATTAACACGCTTTTAGATTACAGACATTTACCCCTCATATGAGTATGAATATCTTAGCAATTTCAAAAAAGTAGAATGTTATGATAAATATCATACCAGACTGCGAGGAAGAAAGGAACGAAAAAGGAAACAGTACATTTTCGCGTTTATTGTGGATAAGATATTAATAATTCAATAATCAACTCTATTGATATTAGGGAAACATTAAAACATCACACTGAGAAATACCACGCGTCATAGTGAACCCACGCAATACTCTAAACCGCAAAACCTGTTTGTATGACGAAACAAGACACACCTCAATAAATGACCAATTTTGAAGGCTAATGTAAAATAATTAAAGATGTGATACCAAAATAACCCATAGTACAGGAAGTAGAAACAAAAAATCCAATACGTAAGTAAGATGGTAGAATCTACAGGAAGGTTGGAATAAGACAGGCTTTCCTCTATCTCTCTCTCGCTCTTATTCTCAGAACTTTAATATTTGAAAGCTAATGTAATATCATTAAAGACATGATACCAAAATAACATGTAATAAAGAAAGTAGGAACAAAAAAACCCAGACGTAAATAAGATGGTAGAGTCTGCAGGAAGGGTAGAATAAGACAGGCTTTCCCCTATCTCTCTCTCTCACTCTTATTCTCAGAACTTTGATATTTGAAGGCTAATGTAATATCATTAAAGATATGATACCAAAATAATACGTAATACAGAAAATAGAAACAAAAACCCCAGACGTAAATAAGGTGGTAGAGTCTGCAGGAAGGTTAGAATAAGCAAAACTTACCTCTTTCTCCCTCTCGCTCTTATTCTCCGAACTTTGATACAGACCACAGCAACACGTACAATACATTTCGTAAACAATAAACTAACGTCACATTCATGATGCTGATGGGAGCACAATTCCTGCGAACTCGTAAATTTCTCGACTATTCACGGCATGTTTAAACTAGTTTCGTGTAATGAATTTCCAGCATCTTAAACCATAATTATTAATGAATGAAAACTCATGCAGATAACCCTACTCAAGTTCTCAAGGTACTTATTAAGAATTCATAGAATCCCAAGAATTACCTACACAACGTGTAAAACAATTAACGCAATCTCTGAATGTATAATAATTTGTTTAGCATCAAATACTGAATGTTTGTATATTTAAAACCTTAGTATATTTAAAAAAATCCTTCATTTACTGATAATTGTTAGCAGTAAGCTTATAAGACATAATTAGAACAGACAGAACAGTTGACTATAGACTGATACGACGTATACGAAGACGAAGACTAGGAATTTAAAAATTATATTTTATCATCAGACAAGATCTTGCTTACATTCATTATCGACGAGAACCTTAACGGTCGCGCCGAATAGTACGCAAATGCATTTTATAAGTACACATAACATAGTACTAATTTCTCTTATTTTCTACTATGAGGATAGGTGATATAATAGGTAGAGACAATGAAAACATATCCTATTACAACGCAATAAGATTTTGCAGACCGTACTTAATACTGATAACGTAATATTTTCCATGCATTTAGCACCGTATTACATCGTACATCAACAACCAAAACAAAACTGTTACTTCATATAAAAAAAATGTTATGTTTAATTATGTTTTTTTTTCATAGTGTATAAAAATAAATAAATTCTGTTGTATATTGAAAAGATATAGGTAGATCTCTACGGTACCGATGCCGATAATCAGGAAATGACCTCAGTCAATGTAATCGCAACAGAAGAGGAAAAATACCACTCACACATAGAGCAGCGGCCGGTCAAATCATTTGGCAGACCAATTCACAGGATAAAAAATATATAATAAGACTTATTCCACTCCTCCTTTCTAATGAATGGAATTTACAAAATATAATTCTAATATGACGACAAAATAATAATGGTTTTATCATATCAAAGTTGTGAATAAATATTAAGATTTCGACTTCATAACATCTCAATTCGATTTCATAACAAAAAGTCTGACATAATACTTATAGGTAGGACATTTTAAACAATATAATGATAATATCGATCTCTGTAGATTATATCTGACACAACAGACATAACGGTTTTCGTATATAGTTTGTTTTATGACATTTGCAAATGAGTGAACTAAACAATTTTAAAGGGTGTAAGGTTTTATGAATGTAAGGGTATACACAAATATAATAATAGGATAAGTACCGTGCCCCCATTGTCGCTACCCCTTCCGTTAGACCTGTTAAGAACTTATTACCTTATAAAACTGGAGCGTTAAATCGAGTTACGCAACTAACAAATTGTTCAACGACATTAAATGAGTTAGACTAGCATTTGTCCTGAATTCGTAATATTCCGAAATAAATAATAATTAACATATTCCAGGTTATACACTGGAATATGGTTAAATATTATATGATCCCTAATATTTACTACTTCCAAATATTTGCAAAGGATGGTTGTTAACAAATATTACAAGAAATATTATCCTTGTATTTTTAATACGATTTGTGTATAATAAAAAATAGATATAATATATACGTAGGTTAAAATTATCCTATGTATTAATAAAATATTATATTTTACAAATTTCATCTAAAATCTGTTTATGCGTGATTGATTAGTAAATATTAACACGCCGACAAGCCGGCACGTTTTATTATGTATAATAAATATTATTAAACTAATGATGGACTTTTTAAAATATTTATTTTAAAACCCTGAATGGTAAATTACATGACTTTATTTGTCAGCTGATATAGTAATGTTTTAACAGCAGACTTTGCAAAATGTAACCGTGGAATTGCTTAGAAAAGTCAAGAGTACCTTTTCTGTAATAATTACCAGTCATTTTTTTAAATATGACTAAATGTTATGGAATCTTTAATAAAACTAAAAGTATTTAAAGATAAAAGTTAGATTAGATATGTTTAATTAGTTAGATAAATATATAAAGAATACTATCTTCAAAGGAAGATATAGGTACCTAAAAAAAATATAGTGTGTGAAATAAGTCGAAATTATGATCTCAGGGACAAGGTTTTAACGTAAATATAAATAGTTGCTTTTTTAATTTGCTTTCTTTATTCAATAAACCTAATGCTAAGTGTAATGTGGCTGAATTATAATTATACTAACAAAACAATTGGACTACCATTCAATTGTTCTACGTAAAACTCAAACAAGTTTGTTGACATTGCAATGAAATCCACACACGTGAACTTTGACGCCGGGTATTCAAAACAAACGTTTCAATTATAATACAATAGTTAGTTACATAGGGATATATGCCGCTATTAAACCGGTAACCATTCTAAACGGATCAAAGCCAGCCATGTGACGATTTGCTTCAAGACGAGCAGTTCCGCTCGGTCGCGGCCGTACAACCATGACCTAACCGTATTACGTACGGCATCGATCTGTCATTCATAACTGAATATTACGTACCTTGTTGAGTCCGGGATGCTTGAGCCGGTCGAGGCCCGAAAGCCGGCTGTTTGACTGTCCGTCCCCGGAGCCCCATAGTCCGATGCGATCACGCTCCATAACGTTGTACGTACAATTCGCTCCGCTGGCCGCTTGCGACTGCTTGGCGGCGGCGAACGGAGCGCTACTTTTGTCTCGGTGCGCGGGGGGTGCTGGACTCATCGCGGTTTCGCTCCTGGGAAAGCAGGAAAATTTTCAGCGATATCGATACGAACCATTTTGTGGTTGCGGCCACCCGATAGTAGATGGCGCTAGGTCCTTGACCCGGTCCTATCAGTGACAACGTGGGAAACAATTACGACAATTTCCTTTTCATTATTGATCAATCTATATTTATAGTACATAGGTAAGTAGTTGAACAAATAAATATTTCTAATGGTTGTTTCTCGCTACCAAGTGAACCGTATCCTTGTTTTCTCGAATCATCGGATTAATAAATACCATAAACCAGATTTCAAAAAATAATTTTACTTATTTTTTAATATACTATATAATTTAAAGAAATCATTATTCCCAAACAATTAATACTGTCTAGTCTAGTCCCTCGGTAAGCACTTGTACTTGTGTTATGGGTACTAGACCTGTTATAAATATTTACATTTTTTGTAAGTAGAGAAGAAGTACATTCATAATATATAAAAAACTTCGGTACAAACAACCACACCCATGAATACAAAAGGCTTGCACCGGGCGAGGAATTGAACCCGCGATTATCGGAATGAAGCGGTGTGCTAAACCGCTAGACCGTCAAAATATCTAATTTAATTTTAAAACAACTGTTTAAAGCCTTTAATAATCTTTTCATAATTATTCATAGACTATTCGTCAACTAAGTTGAATAAACTCTCGATAAATAATATATTCTATCATTAAAATTTCCATCCATTATAAATGAACTAACAACGTATACATTATAAAGAGCATATGATTTCATTTTGATCATTATTTCCTAATTCTATATTACCTTCCGGGTCCACTGAACGTAGCGGTCTCCACAGGCCACCCACCCCTATTTAGAACGTATTATTTCATAAAGAATTAAAATACTATTATATATATAGTTCAGTATTGATGAAAGTCAAATTAATTTGTCAACATAATATAATGTACAACATTATAGGTATACCTTATATATATACCTAAAAATGGATACATAAATGATATAATAATACTCTACATGATATAAATTACGATTCTACACTATACTGGGGGTTATATCTTCACATAGGATAAAATGAATTCGCATCTGATATATGTTCGCTTAAATTATTTAAACTATGCAAAGGATTTTAATGCAGTTATAGCAACAGATAAAGTGATTCACGAGGGAGGTTTATATCTATAATATATCTTCACCCGTGTGAAACCAGGGCGGGTAGCTAGTGAAATATAAACGCTTTTCAAGCGGCGAACATACAACTGAAGGCGAAAAATCTGTAAAATAAATCCGGAACTGTACTTTAATAGTAAATTCTTAATTAAATGTGGCATTTAAGTGTTATAAAATCTATTTTTACAATCACAACTAAAAAAAAGTTCTTATTTATTCTAACAATCGAAATTAACTTGTTGACGGCGTATTCCAAATAATATATATATACATCAATAAATATTGGGCAGTATTGTAAGCAGGCTAATTACACTTCTAATTCTACGTAAATTTTAGAGACGTCTCAAATATTAAAGAGATTTATTCTCTCTGTTAGGGTTGTTACGGTTAACCAGAGGTAGTACATAATATATGACATCTATTCCCGATTCAAATTTGTCCCCTGCATAAATAATATCCGGTGTATTTCAATAACTTCGTTATATCTATTCAACTCCATTGGTTTCTAGTTTAGCTGCTAGAATACGGATGTTAGATGGTAGATGATGCCTTTTTTATATAAAACTTAGCATACAACTACTCATGATACAATGTCATCTCATCCTGCTAAAACTCTTTTAGGCGATTAGTAATGAAGAAGTAACAGACAGATATTTATGTAATATTAGTATAGATAGTACATCTCTTTTAAGGTTTTTTTTTTTTATTTAATACTAAAGATATTATTATCCGGAAAGAAGTAAACTCATTATACATTTTTATAATCTTCTATACTTATAATAAATCTGTAGAGAGGTCAATTGTGTACTTGAAATACATTTCCAAAATAACTATCAGGAGGTTATTAGTGATCGATACTGATGCCAAAAATGCAATCAGTAAAATTTTTATCTGTCTGTCTGTTCATTATAGAAACAAAAACTACTCGGATAACGAAACTTGGTACAATTATGTTTCATACTCCTGGGCAGGTTATAGTATACTTTTCATCACGCTACGATCAATAGGAGCAGAACAGTGAAGGGAAATGTTAGGAAAACACATCAAAACCACTGAACCGTGAAGAAGGAGATAGACTACTTATTTTACGAAAAACGTCGGAAACGCAGACGAAGTCGCACGTAACAGCTAGTTTTTATAATAAAACGTGGGAGCGCGTGTGCGCCTTACTACTTACAGTGATAAGGGGCGGAAAATTTGGATTTGGCGGGAAAATGTTTGATTGACATAGTGTTAATATTCATGAATTTCATATCCATACATACATAATGTAATGTATATATAGACAGATATGAGCATTGACACAGATATTGATCTTATCACGGGGAAGTCACTCACACAGGCTTTATTATCTGTACCTTACGATGACGTAAATCAATATGAAATAATAATTTAATAGAAAGATATAAACATGACTTTGTAAAGATAAGAAAACGTCACGGAAGTCCGATATATAATCAAAATCTCTAAGAAAATGTTCGCGTAATCTACAACTCCACTTTAAAAAAAACATATTGTACATATTACATAGTGGAAAAATAGGATATTGCTATTTGTCTACAATTATTTCAACTAACTAGATCAAGTATCACATGGTGGCCGTAAGTCTGTTCATGAGAGGATTTGATCTACGACTCTACTGATGATGAAGTTTTTTTTACATTATTTACTAGCTATGCATATAGCTTATAAATCAGAATATCTATATTCTTACATATATATATCAGACTGTAGTTTCATCAAAATACGTTCAGTAGTTTTTGCGTTAATGATTAACAAACATCTATCCATACTCACAAACTTTCGCTTTATATAATTGTATCTCCTACATATGTATATAATATCGTATTTATGTATTGGTCTTGTCTTTAACTACCTTAACTGGGATTCTTGTCGTAAAGTTATCTTTATCCCTATACCTTGATATAAAGAATAAACATTTTGCCACTTTCTTTAAGAGAAGAATGTATTACGAGAAAGAGTAACTCTGTATATTCTAATACCTTCACTTGATCGAAAAGGATTTCGATTAGATATGTAATCGCGTACGTGCTATCCGTTACTAGTTTAATAGGAACAATACTACCTAAGACAATCTTTTAATCTACAAATGAACGATTTGATTTCTTATATTAGTAAAGAATGGAACATTCTTTAAGCTAATAGTAAAAAATTGTTATAATCCTTTCATCTTTACATGACGTTTGATACTTTGAAATTTAATTTAATTATATATACTATGAGACTAATAAATAATTAATATCATAGACGTTATTTGGCGATGCTAAAAAATATAAAGTGTACATACACATTTGAGCCTCGACTTTAATTTTGCATGTCATGTTCTGGTACAGAATATTGTCATCATAATCCATCAAATACCATGGTATAAACCACATTTCGAACTAAATAAAATTATTAATTAAATAAATATAACCACAGATAAAATCATATTATATACAGATACCCCATCTCATAAATGAAAATAGTTCGGGCTATTCTTGGGGCAATTTTATTTGCCAGCGCTAGATCTGAGGCAGTTCCAATTAATAGTATATTAGTAAACATGAAAATAGATGGTAGTCAAATCAATCTACATGACAGCAATGTTTTGCAGAGATAGGTATATAACTGTATATTATACCTGATTGGGTATGATTTAAGATAACATGAATGAGGTGCACTAATGCAATATGTTAGTATCTATAGTACTCTCCTACTTTCCTTTTTGCTAGCTCTACCGCCTACCTATGCCGCAGTATAGCGGGACAGTCTCTGCCATTCTGCTTACATGAGCAGCTCATAGGCTCCACTATCTGAAAAAAAATCTTTTATACGTAATGTGTATGTTACCAACATTATAATAAACAACCATAGACAACTCGCACAGTATTATCTCATCCCAAAACTGAGCATAAGTTGTGCTGTGAATAGTAGATTTTGTTATGGGTATAGAATAGCAAAAACGTTGACGAATATGTTTTATAATATAAGGATTTTATTTAATTTCATAGAAAGTTATTAACAGGGGGCCCCATGCGGTTTACGACTTGGCGTTACTACCCATAATCATGGATTAAATCCCGATACACTACAAACATTTGTAAGTAAGATTATATTTGTTTGTATTGATCTGGACATTCTCTATTGTATTTATGAAGAACTCTCACTGATCTCCTCTAAGGAAGGATAGCTCTTTGTGAATTGTTTAGGATATTTTTATAATTAAAAATTACTAAGCGTAAATATACTACTACTAAGTACTTACAACAATTTACACTACATTGCTTATTTAAATCAGATACTATCAATAGTAATTTTATATTACTATCTTTAATATACAAATATACCTATATTCTTAATACAATAATTGCGACGTCACATTGTATGTCAGTAGGATTCTGGTCGGTCGATGATGGATGGTCAATAGCCTCGACATGCCCTCGACACAGAACTACAAAGTTATTGAGGGACAATAGGGACTTAGGTAGTACTTTGTAATATTCTCTTATCTGTGGTAGTACTAATCGTAATATTAATGACATCGATTCTAAATTCAAAATATTTATATTTATTATTATATTCACCACTTAGATAAAAGTCATAAAGAATATTGCCATTCTTTATAGATCTGTAAACAGTACAGAAGCATAGGTAAACCCTGTATAAATTGTGTTATTTGTACCCAAACTATTCAAATGTAATTGAAAATATGTAATATTCCATTTACATAACAAATATAATATTTATTTCTAATTTTAATGCCCAGTTTTGAATTAAAATTTAAAGTTATAATATTAATATATACTTTATAAATTCGAATTTCTTTCTAAATGAATAGACAA